AATCTGGAGATCATTTTTTGAATATAACAGATTGGAGGGATTTCGAAATATAAAGTGAACGAATAAAACACTGTGAGTTATGGCATGGTATGAGGTTTCAAATATGGCTGCAGAGAAAATCATGTCAAGAATCCAAGGATTTGGTACAGTTTTGTGTTCCATCCAGACTCTATGTGAGATGGATTTAATATTGAACACTTTACACAAAAACTGAGCTCAAGATTGGTAGAGTCAACTTAGGTTCAAGCCAAACTGATGTTCATTAACACAAGGGAAGTCTACGTAATCCCAGGACCTAAATAACAATCCTTGGAATGATTGTTGTACATACATTTATCATTATTGATTTTTTTTTTGGGAGAAAATCTTACCTGTAGCCTGTCAAAAATATCAAAATAATTCATTCATTACAAACTCTGTATCAAAATTACTGTAATTTAGATCATGTATAAAAAGGTTCTTATGCATACACTCCTAATATTAAATTCATATCTTAAAATCTGGAAAAGTATGGCAAATCACCCACAGAGATTATATCAGAAAAAGACAATATCTTTTTCCCCAACAGAAAAATTCATCGGGTTTTCTGTGAAAAAAATTTTTAATGTGTTTTAAGTCAAATTTATGATATCACCTATCATAAAGTAGTTACATTTACCTGTAATATGCTGTGAATAGTGAATAGATCACCTATTCTATAATATATTCTATTACCCCTCATATACATAAATTTAGTGTAAAAAGAGGAATTATTTAATGGATAAAAAAATGAGTTGTTATTTGGCTCTCCACTAGTGTTTGGATTTTTCCAAGATACAATTTAACATAAGATCCTTCCATCTTAACATCTAACATTTTCAACATTTATGTAGAGTTTTATAACCGTTGGTTTCAACTTCAACTATAATAAACTTTGTTGCACAAGCTACACATCTTACATTCATCTGTACAGTATATGAGTTATTGTTATAACTATTGTAGATACGGATTGGGTTTATATTCTATTTTATCTCGAGAAGTACTCACTTGTGAATAGCAAAATCTTAACACGTTCGCTCCGATAATTTGTTTATTGATTTATTAAGTTTTTGAAAACTTCCACGTTTACCACCAGTGGTACCCACAGTGACCCCAAAAACTCTGTTGTGCACCACCGGTGGGCACCGTTACTATGGTGATTGTAGGCAACAAAGCGCCATTTCGGAGTCTTTGAGAGTTTTTTTTACTATGTATTCGTGTTTGTAGAAGCCACATGAAACGTGTCCACGGGTGGTAGATGAACCAAATTCAGGTTGTTACAAGAAAATGTGTTTTTATTTACTTCAACAAACAAAATTTTTTTATATAAAAAATTGAATAAAAACTAATTTTTTACTGCTCAAAGTCTGTTTTTAAGTTCATGGAATGTACTTGTTTTCACATGATGACAGGTCGACGTGTACCACGGGTGGCCCATGGTTTAATTAGCGTAATTATTATCTTATCTTGTTACTTAAACAGTACAAATAGTATACAGTTGATAAATAATCAATTATATCTAATTATTCCTATAAACACATTTTCCTTGTTTTGACAGTCTATGGTAATTTGTACACAAATTCACTTTTGACTGAAATTTCATTCGTGCGCCACCGGTGGCCACGCCGGAGCAAACAAGTTTACACACGGTTGTACGGTTATGTTTTACACTAAAGAAACTTTAATTGTGTTGTTTAAACTACGTTGAGCTCAAAAGATAACTTGAGCTACATTTAGCTCATATTTGGATAATTATCTGTAGTTCAAAAACATACTCTTGCAACAGTGGCATTCGTTTGTAAATGTATTCCAGTGTGTAAATTCTTAGGAAGATTTTTTTTCTTCATACGTAGGATTTTGCGGCCTTTGTCATAAGAATTCACTGTGGTTTTCGGGTGTCATCAATTTCAGATTGCTTCCAGGTGTTTCGTCCTTACAGTAGTATGCCTCTTCACACTAAGTGTGAAATATCTGGCAAAAATCCATCGATGTATAATACTCTACTGGATAGCACGATGTGTGGCTTATTCTTATTCAAACGGTTCGTGCCCACCATTCGAATTGGTGGGATACTGAGGCGGACGGGCCGAATGAACCTCTCTGTTTTAGACAAACATACATTCACTCAACCTGCTCTGCTACACTTAATTGTTAACATAAAAATTTCAAACTGATATTTCATTTTTCTGGAAAAACCAGTGCTTATTACTATGTAGCTATTTTTAACCTTAACATATTTTTTATAATTTATTTAGGCAAATTAAAACTGATGATCGTTTTTTAACACCTCTAAAAACATGAAAAATGTAGTAAGCGAGGAACTTTGTTATTTTTTGTTCAGAAAAAAAATTCCTGCGGCAAAGTTTTAGATCAAAGTATGAGTTTTATTTTTTATTTGAAGTTTTTTTTATACGGAGTTTGCTTGTATAATTTTTAAGCGATTGAAAATAGGCCAAAATTGCTTGGCGCAACATTGGCGCTAGGAGCTCGACCGGCTTTAGGATTAGATACTGAGCTTCTGGAATTTAATTATCATTATATTACATCAATCAAATATGTCATCACATTACAAAGAGAGGGTAACTAAATTTACAAGCGTATGTTTCTTCATTTTATTGCTTACCGTATCTATCGTTTAAAAAAAAATTCGTTGAATCAAAGAATAAATTTTGGATTCACAGTAGTATTTAATATTAACCTGAGAAAATATTTTGTAATTATTTCACTTCACTGAGAATAATCAATGAATTGGAGATATTGGCATAAAATATTATACAATCATTTTATTTAACAAGATATAATATATTTTCAAACATGTTAATAATAGTATGACAAAGAAACATACTGTAATATAAACAAAATGTATATACATGTAATACATGGCAAGAGCGGGCACGACGCTCGGCACTAGAGTCATGCGGCATGCCTTTATCTCCACTCCTGGCGGACAGAGCGAGGTAGCGACGGACCGTTTTCAGAGCCCTACTTCAACCTGAGCAGGGAGTTACATCAATACAAAAATCTGAGACACCGAAAACCACAATGGATTCTTAAGACAATTTTAATTTGACTATTTATGAAAATGGTGTCTTAAAAGATGCAATCTTTAGATTATTATTAGGACCTTAAACACAAACACAATCACTCACAAAACACAACCATATATCATCAAACTCAAACCATGTAGATAATCTCTTAATTCCAACTATTTAAATTTTTTTGTTAGTGTTTTTAGATTGTACAGAGTAAGTAAGTATTTTGTCAATGCAATTGGTTTTTATGAAGTGTTCAACCATATTTTACATACATTTTTATTTATTCTGTTATACGTTTTATAGTTGTAACAATTCTTACTCATTTTTTTCTTGAAAATTATTTACTCTTTTAACCTTTACACTCTTACTAATATTTAAATTTTATAATTTAAAAAATCCGGTCATAACGTCAATCATTGAAGCATGATTCAGTAAAGTAAATAACTAGTAACTAGTATTTTCTGTGTACGCAAGTAATTAACTCACATTGCAATTCAAGCGATGTTCATTCAATTCTGTAAGCCTACAGAATTGGCATTGCATGAACTGCCTTAAAGCTTATAACCATCAGTAATGTGATAAATGCTTATTTGATCTGAAAGAGCCTCTAAAAATATTGATCTGAGGCAGGTTTACTAATAGTTTTAGTTGTTCTTCAGCATGTTCTTAATTTTTTCTATTAACCGTAAAATCTTTTTAATTAACTCCAATGAAAAATAATCATTAAGTTTTTCATTCTAAACAAACATGTATTTGTTACACCATAAATAGTCTACATTACATTTGTTTTATTTTTTTAACTCAAATTTGAGTTTGCATGATATTTTTACAGTATTTTTATCTCTATTCTTTCTTTGAACTGTTTGTCAATAGATGTTTTACACAAGAAATTTATTTTTAAAATAATTTTTACAAACATGTAAGCTAACTAAAAATAAAATGTAAGTATGTTAATGTACATTGCTTAACTGTTGCCAAATTATATTTATCTCTGTGAATCATTAAAGAAGAATTTCATAACAGTAAACACTTTTCAAAATTAGATGTACCGTTTTTTTTATATATATATATTTTAATATTAGTTAATTACATTAAAGCAATTAACAAAAAAGCGTTAAAAAGCTTTCTTTTGAACACTCTATTAATGAGGTTATTCAATGAGGGAAGCTAATTATAAATCAAGAACTATCAACGACCAAACAGTTATTCACCATACTTAAAAATTAACGGTAAAATCATGTAATATTTTTCAACTTGTCGCTACTACAGCACAAGCTATAAATTAATCTTTGCTTACTACCGTACATATCAAATTTAAATTTGCTCAGATATCTTCCATTCTTATTTAACACTATTTATAAGTATACTTTTTATAAAAAACTATAAAATAGATACTGTGCAAGTGTAAAATAAATAATATAATGTTCAATAGTCTGACAATAATAAGAGCATTTTATGTAAAATAAGGTTATGTGTGCACAGAGGATGATCATGTGCTAAGAACATTTCTCAGGATCATATTATGTACAAACTAAGAAGGTGGGAATTTTCCACCATTGGTAAATAATTATCAGATCAATCATCATCAATGTAAATGTTAGTTTAAATTATTACAATTTTCAACTCCATGCAGCAAAGGTAAATAAATAAATAGTTGCTCAGTTTTTTTTTTTTTTTTTTTTTTTTTTTTTTTTTTTTAAGTCTACATTCTTTGGATGTTTAGGTGTTTTTTTTAAACAAATTTAGTGAGCTTGAAATATTTAAAATAGGATAGGTCCTAAAAACATATAAATGTTATAAGATACGATAATTCAACATAGGAAGTCTAACATACACATTTAAGTCTCATCAATGTTCTGATTAGGTTTATAATCAAATTTAACTTTTGGTTTAGTGTTTTTTATTTGCTTTTCATCGTATAGTTATATTTCTTAATGTTTTATTTAGGCCTGATGGTGTAGGAACTGTGACTCATGAAGAAAAAGACAAGTTTCAAGAAATCAAGGAGAGGTTAAGGATACTGTTAGAAAATCAAATAACAAATTTTAGGTTAGTAATTTCTTATTATTATGCTTGATTTGTAGTTTAGCTGTGTTGAACTCTGCTGATTCAATTTTTGCATTGTTGGTTATCTTTAGTGATGTATCGATACCCAAATTTATCAATTCTCAATACCGATACCGATACAATTCTTTTTATTGTTTTACCAAATTTTCTGAATGGATTGGTTATACCAAATCATTCAACAAACCCCTGTCTTTATGTCCTCCCTTTAAGTATTTTTTAGGGAATGGGGTGTTTTTCAAGTCAAGAAAAAAATTATGCAGCAATGATACATTCCAACTAGCTAATTTAAGTTTAAACCCTTCTAAACACATTAAAAACTACCATATTTAAGATAAATGAAGATCTAACAACAAACATAAAAAATAAAATGATATTAGAGGTGTGCTAGCCTGACATTTTCAGTCAAGCCAAACTCAAGGTAATATTGTGATCATCGCCAGCGGACGTGGAGATATCATCTTCGTCTTCTGGGATCATTGCAAAATCCGAAATATCTTCCTCAGTTAATTATGGAAACATCATCACTATCTTTCGCAGTCGCGGAAAAATTATGAACATCTCCCGCGCCCTTGTAGATATAATCATCAACTCCCGCGGTCACGGAAAAATCTCAAAAATCTTCTACAGCCGTGTAGACATCATCATTGACTCCCGCGGTCACAGAAACTCCATCGTCGTCGTCCGCCATCACAGCAAACTCATGAATATCTCCCAGGGGCTTGTAGACATCATCATCATCATCGTCTCCCACGGTCACGGAGACGTCATCATCATCTCCCGCGGTCACAGAAACGTCTTCGTCGCCTTGTCTGTTCGCAGCAATAGCGGTAATTTTCCGATCGCCCAAGCGTGACAGGTATCAGTATCGGAATCGACTTTTGACGATCGATTCTCGATACCGACACAAACGGCCAAGTATCGGTGGTTTGGAGAATCAACACTTTCCTACTTTCTATACAGAAAAAGTACGTCACTGGAAAATCCTTTTAGAAGAATATGTAGGCAATTTTTTCATGAAGAAGTGTGTTTTTGATGACTCGACTGCCACCTATTTTAATTTGTAGCCTTTTATACCAAAAAATAAGAAATTGCCTCCCAATAAAGCAACAGCAGAAGCTCGATAGTCCGGCTCAAACAGGCTGGATTAAGGAAGAGGCAAGACTATGAGAGAACATTTAAATCAGTGAATTAGGGTTAAAATTAGAGAATTTGAGGCAGCCAAAGGTCATGTTAAACGTTAACAGCAACAGCAATGCTTTAATGCAGTCCTGTTTCATTTTTAAATAATATCAATACAGTAAATAATTGAAGTCCATGAGCGGGTGACATGAGTATGTGTGAATTCTGAGCTATGTCCCCCAATCTGTTGCCACTTGCCCATATGTAGTAGTGCAGTTAGGCATTGCATATCAATAATTACTGTACATACTTACAATATTCGGATATAACATGCTATTAAATGTACAGTAATTAATGTAATCCATGTAGTTTAAATTTAAGTGCAGGACAATTTATAAGTGTTCTATATTGTACTGTTATTTAATGTGAAGTTATACACTATTGTTATGACTTTTTTAGACTGGAATCGAGCCAGGTTACTGGAGGGTACGGTTATCAAGGGCCAAATCAACAAGGTTCTACTGTAATTGATGACGTGCCAATGTATTTGTGAAAAATATTTTACCGTTGAATAATGAGTTCTGAGTTCTATATTATGTTAAACTAAATCAGTTGACTCCAATTTAAATATATCATTGCTGAATAAAAAATATATACGTTTCTGTTTAGTTTCAAACAGACGAATGGCAATACAGTACTCAAATATCTATTGATTTTATAATTTTAGAATCTGAATCAAAAAATAATACTTTATAGAGTATATGTTATTTAAGGGACAGTTACAGACATTTTTCACCACGTTTTGTAAATACGAACACGTTTACACAAAGTTTTGCAATCTGGAATCTGATTCCATCCTCAGTTAGGAGACAAACTCAAACATAACAAAATTAATACACAAACTCAGCCAAAGCTGAAAAATCGTGACCAAAAACTCTCACAGAGAACTCTTCAGTATAAAAATATTCAATTCTTACCGTCTTCGCAATCTAGAGGTAAAACTGCACTATGGCTGTTTCAGAGATAACTCTATTGTCAGGTATGTTGTGGTGTTTTATTTATAGATTGCGAAGACGGTGAGAATTAAATATATGTATATATTTACATGCAATCTACCAAACCCATAAATCATAAACTGTAAAGTACTAAAAAGAAAACAAAAAATACTGAAAGAAAAAGAAATAGTACAAACGGAAGGTGGCAAACACAATGGGAAATCATGGAGTTGTTCCATGTCCGCAATAATTCATTAAATAGCATGAACGACCATCACAAAATATTTTTAAACAAAGAAATAAAGTCTAGTTTAAGGTCAACTTTACTCCAGTAATCTTTTAGTTGATTTACAATTTGGTTTTACTTACAGGTATTGTTTCCCGTTTGGTAGACCTGAGGGGGCTCTAAAAGCAACGTTGTCTCTTTTAGAAAGGGTAAGTACCCACATAGCACAGAATATTTATTTGATATCAAATAAACGTTCAATATATCAAACTATGTCAAATCAAAAATTTGATATTTATTTGATATTCATTTAATGTTCAAAATGTCAAAATCAAACAATGTCAAACTTTGAATATTTATTGTATCTTCAAAATATCAAAGTCAAATAACATCAAATTTAGAATATTATCTAAATATTCTTAATGTTAAAAATTTGATTTTCTCTTTGAAAATTTCCAAATATAGACTAGTTTAAAAAATTTTTAGATTTAACTTTTTAAATTTTTTAGAGTAAAGAATTAGTCCCCAGCCTATGGAGGTCGGAGGCCAATTATCTCAAAATAATTAATAATAGGAAGGAACACTAAACACTGTAATTTTTAATTAATTGATGATGGATTTTGACTTTTCGCGGGGAGGGGGGGGGGAGTTGTTGGAACATCTGATATTTTTCTGAATCTAGGCTTACTACACATTTCAAGAAGAGTGAATAGGAAACACAGCTTTTTTAAAAGTTTTGTTTATTAATAAAAAAGTCAAACTCTTAACGATTGGCCTTATCATTTTATTTTTACTAGTAAATTAAACAAAACGTAAATTTAAATTTTTTTTAAGTGTAATATAACTCTAAAAATATGTTAAGTATCTAGTTTGAGCTTGACTTGGCCCATTCGTATGAAAGGAAGAGAGGAAGACTGAAGACAAAACACCAACTTAATTCTAACCTAACTCAGCAAACAAAACAAAACATTACAATACAAAACAAAATTACAAAATCCGTCGAGCGACCAGTGGTGGCCAGTTTACTCATGGTGTGGATTTATTTATTTATTAACCAACAAATTGCCCATTTTGAGGGAAAGTACACGATTTATGTAAAATGTACCTATGACAACTAAGGTAACTTGTTGAGTAGGCTACCCAAGTAGTGAAAATAAACTATGGAAGCAACAAGAGTATCAAGATTCAAGAACAAGACATAACCTCAAATCAGTTAACTTAAGTGTGCTGATATTTTGTTTAGTGTGTGTCACTGTTAGTTTAGAGTTGTTATTTTTGTGACTGGGTATTGGCATAACCTACACCGAACATCTTTTCACGTTTTGATCCTTGGAGTATGTAAGTATAAGTCACTATACCTAGTAACATAGACGTATTTTAGGCCTTGGCCTTACCTAGACCTAAGTTAAGCTACTGTACAAATTAAATTGGCCAACTTATCATTCCTAATGCCTTAACTTAAGTATAAATAGATAAATCTGAAACCTCAAAATAGGCAATCTGTTTTAGAGGAAGTATTTTTCTGCATACTAATAAGGCCTAGGCGTAAGCTACTAAGTTAGGCGGCTTGCTTAGTTCTTACTGAACCAGTAGTTTATTTAGCTTCAAAGGGCAACTTCCGGATGAAAATAGTGTTCAATATATAGGCTAGTAAGTAGGACTAACTTACTGGTTTACAAGGCAAATGGAATTCCATACTGTGTTGTAATACCTTGTTAGGCTAATTTTGAAATATTACTAAGTTATGTGGGTTATATTTTACGTCAGTCACTAACTTAAGTTTATGTAAATTCACCATCAAGAATAAGTTAACTTAATTTAGGCTAGCCTAGGCCTAACATATTCTACCTCAACCAGGTTACAATTTACCGGTATTATAAAAGAAATAGCCTAGCCTATTTGAAATCCATTTTCCTTTTAAACTGAATTGGGGTACACTTCCGTATCTGTTGTCAAAAACAACTGAATGAACATAGGCTATAACGATCGATATTTTCATTCGGTTGTTTTTGACAACAGATACGAAAGTCTACCCCTGTATTGTCTCTTAGTCTTTTGTATTTTAGTTGTTGTCTGCTTCCTTTACCAACCAATGATTAGGCCTAACTAATCTTGATACATATTTAGGCCTGAGAAAGGTATGCATGAATTTAACTAAAAGTAGTTTTCTCTCCATTGTTTCAGTTGATAACTCTGCAGCTTGGTGGAAGTTATTATTTGGTAGCAGTGAATAATTTGCCTACGGTACCAATTCTCCCGAGTGACAAAGTGGCTGTCTAGCAGCCTGTAGGCTGGGAAGGAGGAATAAATTTTTCTTTTGCAATCTGCATCTGAAGCCAGCTATCTTGGGTAAGTTTTTTTTATTATTTACAATCAGACATTAATAATAGGTAGACATATATATTTCAATTAGGTTTTCTCAAAGTTAAAATAAGAGGTGTTTTTATTTCAATTTTTCTGTTTGATTCGCCATGACTGTGTAGGCCTATGTCTTTTTTGCCATAACGGGTACAGTTCCGCAGAGAACCTGCGTTATATTATCGGATGAATAACATTATATATCAATAATTATCCGATTCAATACATCGTTCCCTATGTTTTTTCACTATGTAAACATCAAATTGAGTTATGATTTGCAGATTTGGTGAATTGGTTTTGCAATATTAATATCAAATCAGATATATATACCGTCCGATAATATATCGCAGGTTCTCTTAGGAACTGTAGATAAGTTAGGCTCTACCACCAAAACACAACCTAATTCATGATAGGTACCTATTGGCACAGAAAACGTACTACTATAACCCAGAATGCCAACCGCATGGTAAAAAGCATTAAGCGTTTTGAGAGAGCTTTGCCTGTCAATCCGTCAAAGCTCTCTCAAAACGCTTAATGCTTTTTACCATGCGGTTGGCATTCTGGGTTATAGTAGTACGTTTTCTGTGCTATTGGGTAATAACGTAGCCTAAGGTTCATCACACAGTTAAGAGAGTTTCTCTTTTTTGTGACCCACTTATATAGGAAGTCTTTGATTTACACTATATAAATATTCCGGCAGTGCTAACTTGTGTAAAAGAAAACTGTATTAGTTGAATTTTTTTAAACGCACACATAGGCCTATACACACACCAAACTACATCCGACCGTTGCACTCATTTCAGTCAGTGCTCACCCCAATATTTGTCCGTTCAAGTGACTGAGGATTACTTTTACCACTACCTAGGTCAAAATTTTCAATTTTCAGATTTAGATTTAGCTTTAAAAAGGCTACTCAAAAGAAGCAAATGCCATCAAAATATAAAATAGATTTCACTAACAATTTAATATGTGTACCTAGTTGTAGGCTATCCTGGGTGTTGATCAGGAAAATTAAAATATATACAAATTCTAGTGCTAATACTAATCTCTTTTATACAGAGGCAGAACCGGTACGCAAGAACACTAGGATCGTGGTGTAATGGAAATATATGTTGTTGCTACTATAATCAAGAATTGGCTTCGCCCAGCAAAGTTTAGGATTGATGCAAGGTAAATTTATTGTGTTATTTATAATTTAGGTTAAAGAAAAGATTGCTTATCTAATTACCTAATATAGAACTTAAATTTTATTATAATTAACAGATTAGGCCGACATCTAACTACTGTGATGTTTTCTTTTCAAATTGTGAATTTTCAGTGACAGGCTATGCAAATGAGCAAAACTTAATCTGCGGTTTTATCCATCTCTTTTTTCTTTATTGTCAAGAACTCAATGCCTTATCGACAAATTTAATTATAAAGTACAGGTATAGTAAAAAATAGGTCTTAAAAATGCCTAACGAAGGGGTCTCCAACCTACAGCCTGTGGGCTACATCCGGCCCTCGTGCAGTTTTATTCCAGCCAGCAGAAAGCCAGCATACGTTTTTGAAAATTATTATTTTTTATAGCAAACACCAATTATATTCTCCCACGATTGCGTAAACACGTGTGGTCAGGTGGTCTCAGCTATATCGTGATCATCTCCCGTGATCTCGCCAAGACTCACGAGCATATTATACTGCAGTCTCGACGGTGCCGTGATTGTCTTTTGCAATCCCAGCAACACCCTTCATTGTTGACCGTGATTTCCTTGAGGTGTAAAAAGAGAACTTTGTCAATGAATGCAGGCTCAGCCATGGGATATTTATTTACCTCGCGGCTCATACCATAATCAAGAGCAATTAACTGTCTCTTCCCCATTCAACAAAATTTGCGTACAATACCCTGTCTCCAAGTTGGCAGGTTAACGTATTAAATAGGAACATAGTAAATGTCTCTCACTTGCTAATTTTTTCTCAATAGGCCTAGGGGAATATTAGTAGTAGTCAAGTAGCGGCAGATTAATTTAAATATATATATTTTTAATTGATCCTAATCGGCAGAACTACAAATTGAAATCCTAAACTAGCTGACATTTTAAGTGTCAAATTTTATAGCCTATTCTCACTAAAAAATCATTGAACTTTTTGTCAAAGATTTAGCTTAGAATGTGATTACTTCTTAATTGCACATCTTTCGTTAGAATTAGAGGCATTTATAATTTTATTTTATGAACAGAACTATATTTTATATTATTAAAAAAGGAAACTATGTAGTTTATTTGTTTATGGATAGATTTTTATAAAATTTGGCAAACTTATTTACTTTATCCTATACTATTGACGTATGCTCAAAAAAACTTTTTACCTTCTCCATGGCTGCAAACCTAACCTTGTTAAATCTAATCTTCATTCAATTTTTATCTTGTATATTTTTTTATATTATCAGCAAGTTAGGTTAGCTTATGACAGTTTAATTTTATAATAGAATGCTCTCATTTTGTCCGTAGTAAACCTTAATTCAATTTTTTCACAATCAGCAAGTTTGGTTAATTTGGTTAGGTTACGACATTTTAATTTTATAATAGAATGCTCTCATTTCGTCCGTATCACAAAAAGCCTTTACCTTGTGACAAACGACAACTACAATCTCATCGATAGTAGATGATGTTGTGATTCGATAGAGTAGCGAACAATTAACGTTAGTCGCTAAATCGGTGGCGTTTTTAGACAAAAAAGTGCTCACCGAGGAAAAAGGGTTGGAGACCCCTTGTCTAACATATTATATTTTATCTATAGCTGTCTTAGAAAATAACTCTGTTGAACCTCTTTTACAGGAACAATAGAAAACTCAAGAAGGCCATTTGGGAGATGAAGAAGACCAGAATTATTTTTTTTGTAAATTGTACATACCTATCTTTTTTATATTTGTGTTTAAATAATTTTTAATTAAACTTATTTTATCATACAAACAAAGTTTTTTCTTTAAAATGTTTTCCTTGAATGCAATTTTGTTTTAAACAAATATGTTTTGTGATACTTTTGTTAATGTTTTGTCAAATAAGAAATATATATATATATTTACATTTTTGGGTCACCCAAGAACTTTAACAAACTACCTATAACTTCAGAATAATAAGTCAAATCAAGGTAAGAACAGTAAAGAAGTCTGAACTGATATTATTTTAATCGCCATGAAATTTTAAATGTGAAAAAATGCAACCTAATTCTTCTAAACATATTTTACCAATAAATGTATGAGACATTTATTTGATATTCAATTTAATATTTATTTAATGTCAAATTAAGTGAGGTTGAACCTAAATTGACCATTTATTTTATATCAAATGAATGTTCGCGAATATTAATTTAATATTCGAATGTCAAAAATGTTATATCAATATTTATCACCATCATATTTAAAATGTGAATGTAAATTCAATCATATTCTCTTTATTATATTTTACCAATAAATTTATGAATGTCAAATTTGATATTTATTTTATATTCAATTTTAATATTTATTTGATGTAAAATTGAGTGACGTTTGAACCTAAATTGAACGTTTATTTGATATCAAACGAATGTTCGTGAATATCAATTTGATATTCAAATGTCAAAAATTTGATAGCTATTTGATATCAAATAAATATTCGGTGCTATGTGGGTAATTTAATTAGAATGTAATGTTCGCAAATGTGAGGTATTCTTCTACACACGACTTTTAGATTGTACTATTAACTATTCTGTATGCAATGAGCTGTCTATAATTCCTTCTTATCTATTCAAAGAACTTTTTCATTCAACTATGGCTTGGTTTTCTGCAAGCCCAAAGAGGTATGGGACTTCTTCTCTAGAACGAAGTAGTGTGGATCCTAACCTGAATTACTGGGGCTTATTTTTAGCGAATTTCCCAGATACGGAATAAGCTATTACCTTAGGTCTCATAGCAAGACATGGAGCTAGGACAGTTTACTTTTTCTTTTTGTGGTCCCCAGAGGCCAAAAACATCATTCATTCAAATTCATATAAAAGTTATCTGATTTTGTGGTACAATGTGTAATAAATAATAATGTTATGAATAAATTTAGGTTTACAAACATGTAAACCTATGTTTATTCGAAAACAAGTTCACAAACCAGCATAATCGGACTATGGGAATGGGGGTTTATGGAGTGTTTTATGGGGTAAAAATTGGTTTTTCCCAGTTTTGCATCACAAAAAACGTAATATTTGGTATTTTCTTTCCAAACCATGTTGTAGAGCTTAAAAAAACAAGTAATACACAAGACCCACGATAAATTATAAATTGAAGGTTATTATTATATTATTATCAAGCGTTATTATGCGCCTAATGGTTACGGATAAAATTCAAAAATAAACTGTACAATTTCAAATTCTCATGGAGAATAAGAAAACTGTTGTAGTTTGCTTGTTTATGAACATACTTTGATCAAATTTGGAAAATGCATTTATTTATTTCTAAGCTATTAACATAATAAACACTTTTTTACCCTCCCTGATCCAGAAAACCTACGTATTTGTTAAACTAATTCTAGGCCTATTTAAATAGGGAATAAATGTGATATTTTTAAGGAGACATTTTAATTTTAGTGCAAATTCAATCAGGCAAATGGAAATTTGTTTAGTCTGCAGGTTTGCTGCGGCAGGGGTATTTAACTTACCTGTAGCAGCAAACCTAAGTAATCATTAAAATGAGAATTATTTTAATAGGAAATAAGTGTTAAATATATAATATAAATATAAACTATGAATAAGTGTTGTTAAATATAAAATAAAGTGAGAATTTTAAGGAAATATTTTATTGAAAATCCAGTCAGATAAATGGAAATTCGCTTAGGTTTGCTACGGTGGGGATATTTTTTAATGACCTTAGAATCCTGATAGCACATAGCTAGCAAAGTCACTAGTTATTAAAATACAACATAAACTTGCCCTTTAACTCCTTCAGAACTAAAGTATTTTGAATGCTTACAACAACTATGGGAAACCAACTGAAAAAAATGATAATGATATACTGTAATTAAAAAACAGTCCAAAAATCCAATTTACTTTCTACTAGATTGTGTAAGAGATAACATTTAATTTGAGCACTTAATAACCAAAATAACAGAGCTTCATAAGAGGTGGGGTGACATATACAAATTGTAATCCACAATCATCAGTCAGTCATGACAAAATTTGCTCTAGTGTGTTCATCATATCACAATCACGACACATCTCATACACTCATAATTTCTAAATTGAGTAAGAATGTGATGATCAGATTCATTTGTGAAAACTAAAATGAATCAACAGTAAATGAGGAATTACCATAGGTAAATTAAAACAGCTTTGGTCAAGTTGCCAGGGTAAATTCTTTATTATCTAGAAAAAAGATGTAAAACCGACGGTCCTAATGATATGAAACCAGATTTAGCTCTGTAATTCAAGTTAACACTGATTCATCTAGATTTGGAGCTATCCCACTTTGTAATCCATGTGTTAAGAGCAATTGTTCACCATTTGTCTGAGTTTCAGCCATTGTAAGGTCTAGAAACCTATTTTCACTTAGATCTTTAAAACTTGGCATAAATTGGTAACAGAGTGAATCTGGATGTACAGAAAGAGCCTCTCTGAAAATTACTATTATTCGTTTAACAAAAATAATTAAGACAGCAATCAGGCATACTTTGGGTAATAATGACCTAACTTTTCAGCAATGAAAGCAGCTAGAATGTAAACCCTCTTGACCTCTAAGCTCAATCACACTTGCATGTAATCAGATAGTAACTAGGTGATGACTTTATTCTACAGGTCCTGATGAAAGACATCGCTACTCCTGTGCCTCCTGAGGATGTCAGAGGTTTGATCAAGAAATGTCTAGAAACAGCAGCTTATGTCAACTATACTCGGCTGTCAGCTGAAGCAAAGATCGAAGGTGATTTTCAAATATTTGTTTTGTTATTGTTGCTTAAAGTTAGAGTCAATGTTTAATTTGGGTTTGATGTTCTAAGTGGTGTCTTTTATGCATCCAAAAAGGTGAAATTTTACAATTTTACATGCTCTGCCATGACTCAAGCCTTAATTTACAGACAACAATCATAATAAAATAAGTGTATTTTTAGTTTAGAATTTTTCGGGATATAACTTGTTAACCTGTTGTATTTTTAATCCATTTATAAAATGTATCTTTATCGCTCGCACACAAAGGTTACTTCCTGGTGTTTCTAGCTAGACCATAAAGATAATCTTTATACGTTGTAAAAACTTCATATTTATTGTTTACACCATTTGGAATATTTCGGTTACCATTGGCAACATTTTTGAGTAAATATTTATGTTTAAAACCTTACAATATTCACATTGATTTAAAAAAAAAACATCACTTGCGTCTGGAAGTAACTTTCATGTTTAAAAAATGTTATCTCAAACTGCATTCACTTATAATACAATTTTGAGTTTCTATTTAACAAAAACTAAAAAAAACTATAAAGTTTTTAATAAGCTATCACAATATTCCCCATAGGAATTATGAGATATGAAATTATGCAATATCTAGTAATATTACAGTGCTGTTACTACTGCATACAGAGCTTCAGTAAAAACTTAGCTCAGTCTGAAAATACACCACAAAAGGGTAGAAATGCATTAGCTTTTGAGTTTCAGAAATTAGTGATTCATATTAAATATTAAATATATTCATATTAAATTTATTCATAGTTGGCAGTGAGTCGCTACTAACCACAGCATCACAAAATACAATATGCAATAAGTTTACGTACCTTACGTTGGCAATCATAGTTTAGTCTCGGGTGACTAGTTTCAAGACAACTGTTTCATTTTTAAGTCTCTGGACATCTTACATAAAATTATTTGAACTCATTGTCGCCATCAACAGACAAAAAAACAACATTTAATACACACGAAAGTGGATACATTGAGTTAACGAAAAAGAATGTGCTGCCTGCATATTAAAAGTTGTATTTTTGTGTATTGAAGACAACTAGGTGGTCAAATAATTTTATGTAAGATGACAAGAGACTTCAAAATAAAACAGTTCTTTCGAAACTAGTCGCCCGAGACTAAACTATGATTGTCAATGACAACGTAAGGTACATAAACCTATTTTATAATTTTATAAATCAATCATGCAGGCAATGCTGAGTAAAAAAAAGTTTTTGTAAATTGTTTTGTTTTGTGATTTACTCAGCATTGTAAATCACAAAACAAAACAATTTACAAAAACTGCTTGCCCGGGAAGTAACGTCTGTGAAGCGAGTGTTGGAGGTTTATAAAACAAACGTAATCACAAAACTAGTACTATCTGTTCAATTTACTTTCACAGGTTGTTATATTATTGTTGGTGCTTGTTCATCGACCTTGAAGGATAGGGTATAATAGGATGTAATGAACTGATCATGTATTGTTTTAAGGAGGTGATGGTGCAGTCCAAGGTAAAAATTATTGCCATGCATGATTCAGTAGGTTGTTTGTATGCCTCTGTTCATAGCCGTCTCTAATATAAGGCCGCGGCCTTCCATGTGGCAACGCCGTGACTCATCCCCACCCTGGTCCAACTCCTGGTATTGCCACCAGCAATAAAACGTGCAATATTTCGCCAAAACTGCGCTTATTCACATTGAAAGCTATGAAAATGGGACCAGTTCAATAGATTCATTTTTATCATGAAATGCCGCTTACAATGTTTTAGATTGTATTACAAAATACTAATTAATACATGTTTATATAAACTTATATTCACCACTTAATTCCAACCCTGAATATTATGCACAAGCGATATACATTTGTAATGAAAAAAGAACCATAAATAAATACAGTACTATTAAAAATAGGCCTAGGCTTCCCCTGACATTCTTTTAAATTTTATTATTAACTGGTCATCCAGTGTTCGAAAACTCGACAAAAAGTATGTAATGTACAGACTTCTCTGTCCACCGACCGGGAAAACCGGGAATTATGTGGGATTTATGTATTTAACTGGGAATTTTTTGCCGGGATCGCGCATGACGACGATGACGTATCCGTGACCGTGGAAGACGACGATGACGTATCCGTGACCGCAGGAGTCGGTGACAACGTTTCCGTGACCGCGGGAGACGACGATGACATTTCCGTGACCGCGGGAAACGACAATGGCGTTTCCGTGACACGGGAGTCAACGATGATATTTCCGTGACCGTGGAAGACGACGATGACGTATCCGTGACCGCAGGAGTCGGTGACAACGTTTCCGTGACCGCGGGAGACGACGATGACATTTCCGTGACCGCGGGAAACGACAATGGCGTTTCCGTGACACGGGAGTCAACGATGATATTTCCGTAACCGCGGGAGACGACGATGACGTTTCCGAGACTGCGGGAGACGATGATGGCGTTTCCGTGACCGCGGGAGACAACGATGACATTTTCGTTACCGCGGGAGACGACGATGACGTTTTCGTGACTTCAGGAGACGACGATGACTTTTCCATGATCGCGCATGCGGACAAAAAAAAAATACATGCATATTAAAATGTACGAAACACAACTGCACAAGACTTTGATAACATCTTGCCTCTTTAAAATATTTTAAATTGAGTGTAGGAGTTTTGCCAACGGGTATCAGGTAGAAAGGGTCCCCATCCATGAATTTCACATACTGCGGAGTTTTGCCAACGGTTGCGGGTTGCGCGAGAGGGGGAGGAGGAGAGAGAGAGATTACACGTGACCGTGAGGGTGGCTTCCGCTAGGGGTGGACAAACCAGGCAGGATGCTGACTGTGTTCAAAGTAATGGAGTTATGCACTTCTGACTGTGAAAGGATATGTATTGAATTTTTAACCTAACCTAACCTAATCTAACCTAACCTAACCTAACCTAACCTAACCCACTGCGACAAGCGCATAACTGCCAAGCGTAGACAACCCTGACAATCGCTCTCCTTCCCTCCGTCACACTCTTTCTCCCACCACCACCGTTGGCAAATCTCCGCACCAAGAGGTGGCCGAAGGCATCCCCCCCATCTACCTGACACCCGTTGGCAAAACTCCGGTTCCCTTTTAAATTATCAGTATCTTTAGTGTATTTATTTTTCATTTTGATGATATGTAAGAGGTACAAAAACTGTTTGTTTAAACTATATTACTATTGCTATTTTAGTTTTATATTTTTTATCCAATATGTTTTACATTTAGTTTTAATAAGGTAGGAAACGTGTGTTTTCTTAATCAGAACGTGTTACTTGATTAAGTGTATATGTATTGCTCTAACCCACTCATCTCAATGCGGACCTTCTAGAGAGAAGTGAAATAATTGTATATAGTATATACCCCTCAGTTATTAATGCTTTTGGGTAGTTACTTTACTATTGCACCCCGGAATGACAAACTTGTGTGGCATAACACACTGTCACTACAAATACCATATTGTCTATAATTGTATAAAACAAATGAGTTAACACCGGTGATGCGTCGTCTAGCAGTGCAAACTAATAGCGGGAGCCGGCTGGACTATGCCTCAGATGCGACGTTGCCAGATTTCGCTCGCCACAGCCTTATACTAGAGACAGCTATGCTCTGTTGCATTTCTTACAAACTAATTCACAAGCACCGTGATTTACAACGTAGTTTAATTAATTAGTAAAGGTTTATAAAGTTAACTGTGACTAGTTCACTAATTACTGCAAATTTGGCACCTTTAGCACCCTTTTAGTGAAGAACCAATGATAACAGTATTTATTGTTAAGTATACACTGATATTGCAAATTTTGAAATTAATTGCTTGTAGATTGACGATAAACAAGGTATGAGTTTTGGAATAAGATAATTTCTTTTGTCACATAACCATAACTAAATTTTATATGTCTTGAACAATAGATTTTTAATAACATTGAACATTTATAATTATTTAAAAAAATGTGATTATGTGGAACATTATTTAAACTTGTGCAAAACTTAAGATTAAACTCAGCAAGAAAGCTTAGAACAGTGGCAACTAAAGCTAAATTGATTAAAATAATTTACCTTTCCTGAGAAAACTCGAACAAAAATATAAAATGAAGTTCAACCAAGAAAGCCCTGTTGAACAAACATAAGATTGATACCATAAATACTACAGAAAAGTAAAATTTTACAAGATTACTGATTAAAAAAAATTAAATTACTAAAGTGTTATGTTAGATTTTCACCTACATATGTTGAGCTATAGTTTACAGTTAAGAATGTAAACAAAAACACTTGTTTTATAATTGATTAATTTGAGTAAAGCAATGGTCATACTCATAATCATTATAAGTTTGATTGATCAAGACAGTAATCAGTACTAATTAAATTATGTACAATTATGTGAGTACTTTTACTTCTCTTTAGAAGAACGACAAAACGAGCGTAATATGGTTCACTTTGGGTACAGTATACTAACAAATTATTTCTGGGATCATATGCTTTTTTCTACGGTTCAAAATGGTACCTGCTACAGAAAGTTGGTGGAACCTAACTGGAATCTGTAATAATAAATAAGTTCATCCGTTTCCTTAACCTTTTCCTCATGGTTAGTAATACTAAGAACCAAATTGGTTTTTGGAGTTTAAAGTAACAAAATAGTTTGAAATATTGTAGTTGCATGTTATTTTGTGCTAGTTGCATGATGGCTACATTGAGTTAATGAAAAAGTAGAGCATAAAATATTTAACATGTTTGCATTAGAGTTGATAGTTTTTTTGCGACCTTTATTTGAACATCAAGTTTAAGTTTTATTTTCTACCCATAATACCACGACAAAACTGATTCTAAGCAGTGATAAGGGATGGAAGAGATTGTAGGTAAGGTTAGACACAAAGAAATACGATCAAATTTGTCTTTAAAATAAAATAATACTTACATGAAAATGTCTGCAGTATCCAAACCCTGAAATCACAGTTTTATTCTTTTTGACAAATGACAATCTCTTTTGATTATAAGCACTAAAAAATAGCTTTACCAATATTTGTGTTGATTGATATATTAAAAGAAACATAAATTAATAAAAACACTTTTATTGTAAGGTTTACAATGGTCAAGATATCAATTTCATTTTGTTTATTTTATGACCCTACACATCCATGCATCAATATTTTGTCATAAATTATTCATTTAAAGTATTCAAAATTGTCTTTTATATATACCAACACAGTTGAATCCCAAAAGTTCAGAGCATCAGCAGCTGGCAATAGGGCCATTACCAGCAGTAGGCATGTATGTAGAATGGGCGAATGTTATAGTCTGTATTTCTTAAGCCTAGTCCAGACTTGAAGACTAAATCGGCCGATCGTCTGCTGACAGTCTGTCAACACAGTTTCGGATACAAGTCTCCGATTTGTTTACGTTCACACTTGCCAGCCAGTTTTTATCGTTATGGCAACTAATGAGTACGTTATTTCATCCTGTGCGTGCTTCTTACTTCTTAACCATGTGGCTGATGTACCGAGGAAGAAAGAATGGTGAACCCGCAACGTTCTCTAGGAAGGTTCGTGCTACGGTATTGTATTGTGAAAACCTACTATCTGTCCTTCGATTAGAAGATGACACAGGATTTGGAAACTTTACAAGATTGACCCCTACAGATTTGGAGGTTCTGTTTGAGCAAAGATAACAAACTAATGTACACGTTACAGGGCTGGAATTTCAGCCCTGAACGCCACACTGAACACCAGCGGGTTTGGGTTGTATCCCATATTCTGTCTACAGACACGTTCACACATGTAGACTTGAGATAAAAGACTTGTATCTTGTCTCCGTGTTTCCTATTCGTATGGGAAACAGGAAACACTCTATTTTGTCTCCAGAAACAGGGAGATTTGTCTGCCGACAGTCGGCCAATCATCTGATGATATCGCTAGAAACAAAAGGCAACATTACGGAGACAGTCAACCGAAAATGTTTCCGGAGACAAATCAGTAAATCACCACATGTTAAAGCCTAATGGCTTTAGATTTACATTCAGGAGAGTGTGCATTACAAATATCCCCTTGAATTACATAGTTAATTAATATCAATGTAACAATATATTTTTGCACTTTACTCTTTCTTATCCTCTAACCATGGAATTCTTTACTTTGGTATTATTCACTAAAAGGGTTATAAGAAATTTCAGCCTATTTTGCTTTTGCCTTGACATTTTTTATAAATAAATGGCTAGTAAAAAGAATTGGTGTCGTAGTTCAATGCAACAGAATATTGCTGGTTTTTATTCCAATGACCATGTCCAATATAAAATGTTCATAAGTAATCTATCATGTTTGAGGACTGTGGAATGTGTAGTTGAAATATTGCTCTTGACATCCTCTAAGACATAGTTATTTATTATTGGGTTGCTATTTTGTATATTTGACTGTAGATGCTCAACTTGACTGGAAAACACTGATAGGCATGACAGTTTATACTTATTCATCAGAATAGAATCTAGTTACCCAATGTAAAATTGGTTTTTAAGGTAGACAATGAGTTTAACATCTATAACTTAATATAAAATACCTAAGAGAAACTTGACCGGATCATCTTAAAATTAATTTAAGATACAAAATCTCCAATATGATATATGTCAGTGTTCACTAAAAAGGTACCTAAGTTAAACTGTTATTTTGTCTATTTTATTATATTATTTTGTTTTGATTTGAAGATCAGACAAATTTAGTACAATATTTCTTAATTTCTTTTCTCCTTATTTGAAAAGATGTCATCACACACTATCAATTTTAAATCAGTTGTAACTATAAATACATTTTAAAAATTCAACCATAGTTATTAGAGTTTAGTTTTTTATTTTAAATTGGAAGGATATTAACGTTGGAATTCATGTGAAACCAAAATGTTTTATTTTTGTTTTAAACAACTGTGTGTTTATTTTTGTTTTTGTCTTGACTGAAATCTCAAGAAAACCCCCTGATTTTTAACATTGTTTTAAATAGTTTTAACTCATTGTATAAACAAGTGTTATTCTTCTCAGATGCTTCCTTTAAACTCAATATTTATTCTAAACGTCATCAGATTTTCATGAACCTTGCACAATCTAATTTATGAATACATTGAGTTATATTTGAAAACATTTAAGTTATTTTTTTACTTTCGTACAGTAACTTTGAAGAATGATAACTAGTTGCCATTCTTTTTTTTCAGATGATTTGAGTGGTGAAATGATAGTGCCTCCTGGCAAGAAGCTAGAAGACCTCATCCACCTTGCTGAACTCTGTGTGGATTTGCTGCAGCAGAATGAAGAACATTATGCGGAGGTAAGTCAATCGTGGTTGTGCTGGTTTAAGATAAAACAATTGTTATTTTGTTTTGCCCAAAACCTTTCAGTAAATATTTAAGTTTCCTCACGATTTGAAATGTTTATTGTGATATATGTAGTCAATGACGTTTTCCTAGCAATTTTTATCCAAAGCAAGATTACAGGTTGAATGAATCTCAATGTTTGTACAATTGTTAATTAAATTGGTATGTCAAACAGAATGGGAAATATTACAGATCTGTGCCACTTGAATTTCCATATAATAATGTATTTATTACACTTACTTACTTTTATTTATTTGAACTTACTTTTGACTCATTTAATACTTTTTTGGATACATAAACAAACTTTACAGGTTAAAACTTGTATTTTTTGTTGTTATGAAGGAAGTTTCTAACCAGTTTGTTAAAACCTTAAACTGATAATGTAATGTGACAAGTACAGCTGTTAAAATGTCACTAACGGTAGAGTAAATAAGTATAGTTTTATTTCTTAAGAAAACAGACTCTAAATTTGAAGCTTTCTTGACTTATTCATTCACTGGAATAAAATATTTTAACAAAATTCAGTTTAGATGGAGACATTTAAGATAACATCAATAGTTTTTTGGTTAGGCCAGGTTAGGGAAATCAGTCTGGTAACTCAATTTTGTTCGGTATTTTTGATTCTTTAGCACGCTCATTCATACTTTAAATTTGTCATAATGACACCTTCAAGATTTCATCCATAAGCAAATGATAGTTTTTAGTATTTTGATGATTTTAGCTGCTAAAACTTATCTCTCAATCTACCTGTTTGACCTTTTTGGACTCTTTAATTACTAGGGATTACTCACTCTAAGACGATGTAATATTCAATTGCAAGCTAATTTTTAATACTATCATTGTAGCCATTTCAGAACATCTTTATAGATATTTGTATCAAACTCCATTTAGGATTTGAGATTTCCAATCTTTATACACAGCTAAGATAAAATTGTTTCAATGAAAAACTTTCCTTATAGCTCGTGTGAAAAACATGTATGTTCCTCAAATTCTAATGCATTTTGCTAATTTTTCATTTGCTTTAAGTTTATATTTTACTAGCACAACAAATGATAACACATATTTTATTTTTATCATAAAAAATAGTGATAAGTTGTTTATGAAATCTTAGACATACCACAATGATCATTATCTTAAAATGTATTGGTAACTATTAAAATAAACGACACTATTTACATCTGTACCTTGGCTGAAAAATTTTATTTTATCAATAAATTTCATCTTAAGATGATGTTTTTTTAACATATCAATCATGTTTCATTAATACCTCGTAAGTTTAATATATCCATACTATATAATTGTATGGCCTCTGGATAAGAATATTGATCTTGACAAACGATCGATAATATAAATTTGAATGACAAATGAAGAGATTTAATAGAGTATCGTAAATGTTATAGATTTTAATATACTATAGTTGTATTGTTTATTTTCAAATCTCATGTTTTTTGTGAATCCATGGCTACAGCGATTGATTTTTTTATGGGATTTAGGATACCGCTTAGTGAGCATGCTGATACCATACAGTTTACTAAAGGAACAATTTACCCAAAACTGTGCCACTTATACATCCATTTACAAACATAGCCAATTAGTTGAATTTAAAGGATACACATGAAATTAAAACATATTTCTAAGGATATATTTTCCTCAGGAATGTTTTGCCTCCCTGAAGGAGTGAGATATATTTTTTCTATCCGTTAATTTCATTCCAACTGAACTCTTGTAATTATATTCACTTAACAGTATTTTTAGGTCCATCAGCAGATGAGAATATATTTTACACACATTGAATGACACATACATGTTCCTCTTGTTTCCTATGCACGACTGCTTTTATGTGGGTGTGTGGGTATTGTACATGTATATAAAAATATGTTGTGTACACGTATAAATTAAATGTTTATATTAGTTCATCTAGAAACACTTTTAAGTTGAATTTGTATATTTACATTACGGGTTTTAATATGTTATGTTAGTAGTCGGGGATGCATTGCACGGCATCCAAGTGCCACGATGTCCAATGATATTATTCAGTGTCACGATGTCCAAAATTTAATTTTTGAGCTGTTGCACGACATCCAATATAAAATATTTGACTGTTGCACGACGTCCAAATCTCACCATGTCCAAAAGTACAGTAACTGCAAAAAATATAGTCTTTCTACAAGCTTTGGACGTCATGAGATTAGTCGTCGTGAAACAGCGCACTATATACTCTTAAAAAAGTATTATTTGCACCACGTCCAAAGCTGCTCCAGTTGCACGACGTCCAATGATATAACCCAGTGTCACGACGTCCAAAATATAATTTTAGAGCTGTTTCATGACATCCAATATAAAATATTCTATTGTTGCACCACGTCCAAAGCCGCTGGTGCCAGTTGCACGATGTCCAATGATATAAGTCAGTGTCATGACGTCCAAAATATAATTATTGAGCTGTTTCACGATGTCCAATATAAAATATTTGACTGTTGCACTACGTCCAAAACCGCTGTTGCCAGTTGCACAACGTTCAATATAGCTCATTGACTTATATCATTGGACGTCATGCAACTCGCAGCGGCTTTGAATGTGGTGCAAATGATAAATTTTAAGAGTATATAGTGCACTGTTTCATGACGACCAATCTCATGACGTCCAAAGCTTATAGAAAGACTATATTTTTTGCAGTTACTGTACTTTTGGACATGGTGAGATTTGGACATCGTGCAACAGTCAAATATTTTATATTGGACGTCATGCAACAGCTAAAATTATATTTTGGTTGTTGTGACACTGAATAATATCATTGGATGTCGTGGGACTTGAACGTCGTGCAACACTCCCCTAAATTATGGTACCATCTTTATCTATCTCTAAGTGCCTTTTAACTTTTTATCCATAAATACCAGTTTTAGAAAGAGAAATTCGTCATCGATCAGATTCTAAGTTGAATGATGAATGATTTTTCAATCTTATATCAATAAAAAAATGGGGAAAATGTGTATCTTATAAAAATAAACTTGGAACACAATCATAAGTGATTCTAATTAAATTCATTTTACCAGTTTTTCCCCCTTTTTAAGATTTCTAATATCATCCCTAACTTAATAAATTATTTATGGTATAGACCACTTCGAAATAACTCCCTTGGTTATTTTCTGAGGGAAAAGTTAAGAGTAGGTGATAATAAAGTCTAAGATTAACGGAATGACATTTTTTGAGGTATTTGCCAATAGGTATGAAATCCATCAAAGGTTCAAACTTACATTTTCAATCACTTTGTGTGATTTATGTTATAAAAGGCATTTGGAAATGGGTATTGTATATTTTATGACATTAAAATATGTTTTAGATAATAAATAAATAATAATACTTTGTACATTTGTACTATCATAGAAGGATAATTAATTTGTGCATGTAATAAGCGAAGCATCAAACTAAGAATATCAATATTCAAAGAGAATGTCAAACACTGATGCACTCTTAATATTACAAAGCAACGTTGGCTCAAGAGCCAACAAGTTGTGTAAGTAGTTTGAAAATTGAACATCAAATGAAAATTTAAGATTCAGATCCGTGCAAGGTTCTTTTTCCTCATTAAGAGCCACAGAAAAGTGAACTGGACAACTCAACCTACAAGTTTGAGAGAATGTTTGATTCTCGTTTATTTTATAAATTTATACAGGAATATAAAGCGAATAACAGAATAATGGTTGTTGAATGCCATGCTCCCTGACACTTTTACAACATAAAAATACTGGAATCAACCATTCATTGGTAAGTTTATACCATTTTTCTTTTGGAATCGAAAAAAGAAAGTGCATAATTTTCTGGAAATTAGTTAAGAAAAATGTTTTTTTTTTACATAACGCTCTGTCAGCTTAGCAACACAAAATCAAGAAGCTGTCATGATTATGGTAATACACAAAGTCGAGAAACAGTAAACTTACCAAGTACACAATGAGTCCCAGAAGTGGTAACCATATCTATGATCTGGAAACAAACAAGTAAACCTTCACGCTGCCCCACCATGAAAGGTGAAATGGTGGCATTATTCATAAATATTTTCCAGAGAGCATGATTGAAGACTGGCCTTTTCTAATCATTCATGCCGTTCAACTTCAAACTCCAAGGATAAAGTCAATGATACACCGAAGAATGCCAACAGTCAATGAAAATTTGAGAAGAATAGCAGTAACAAACTCTTCTCTTCTTTGGAGACAAATTACTAATTGGTTGATTATCAATTGGTTGACAGATAGTTGGTTCTTGCTCCATTTGAAGTTTTCACCTCTGCACAAGTTAAATGTTGGAAATCAGCTTGAATGTATGCAGATTAATACAGGCCAGAATTTGTATATCTTAATGTAGTTTTACTCTCATAGGTTCTGCAAGAGGGAGGAGCCATTTATTTAGGTCTGACCATTCAATGCCTCTATTTTTATTTATTTTTTATTTATTTTTTTTCATTAACAATATAAAACACATGTTTTGCACTACACATAAGATTAATCACTTTTTTATTCTTTGTTTATACTGTATTATGATTCTTAAAAATAATAAACATATCAAATCTTCCTTTCAATTTATTTCAGTTTGTACAGTTTTCAAAAGATTTTAGTATACAATATTTATTATTAGATATAATAATATTGAAAATTAGGATTTCCAAAAGCCCCAGATCATGTTAACAGTTAAATAACCATGGCTAAAAATAAAATACATATTATTCAATCAACTAATAGTGATTTTAAATAGTGTATTCCAGTCCAAAATATGTTATTTAATATTTCATACCAACTAACAATCTTATCACATTTGTTGATATATTTGGTCAAAACACTTAATCTGCTGTTTGTGTGCATGTGGACATATACAGGGTGACAAAAAAGTCTGAAAACGGCTTAATATCTTTTTAACTAAATCCGTTAGAAAATTCAAACCATTCACATCAACTTACATGTAT